AAAGAAGATATTAACTTTGTGATGTAATGAATATGTTAGTTTAACTGTTGCACTCATTTTACAACCAATATAAAATTGTACACTCTCAGTCCATAGGATTCCTATTTGTCATTTATACATCAATAGATCTAAAATAATAAAAATAATACTAATCGCACTGCTAAAAATGTGGCTAATATTCAAAGCAGTTTAACATTACCTGCTGCAACTGTTTTTCCCAATAAAATATATTGCAGTAGATTATAATGCTTCAAATTTAGTTAGGTTTCTTAGCATGTAATTAATCGGCAAATATTCACTTTTATTTTTGTTATCTAATTGTTGTTGCATTCTATGATTCTCATGTATGCACTCTGTATTATTTTAAGTATTTTGAAATGTATGGTGACACGTCTGAGAGGTCAGCATACTGGCATACTGTTTACTCTGAGAATGTTCTGTGATCACTTTGAGATATATATGCAGTGTTTTACATTTATTTTCCTTTTCTGTATTCCTATACTAATACATGTACTACCACCTTGTCTGCTTAAAACTAAATGACAAACTCAGGATCTTTCCTCTTAGGAGAGAATGCTGATTTTTCTGCCCTTGGATCAAGCTTTCAATGATTTGTTTTGAAATTAACTTTCCTTATCCTCTAGGTTTCAGTTCAGATGATGTCTGGAAAGACATGGGTTAAACTTGGACATTCAATGTTTGCCCATTTTTCAAGGCATGATTTTAATATGAATAGTACATATTTCATTTCTGCCCAGACTAGATGCTTTAGCTATGTGACTCCAAGTTTCTCTTCTATACTCCTCACTCCCAAGAGGGCATGTTTCCTTAAATCTTGACCTTTGTAGTTAGTATCCATGTGGCATCTCTGGAGGTGCAGTCTACCTCAGTTCTATCCCCAGAATTACGATTAAGGTCCCAATGAATTTAATTACAGAAGACTCACCCTTAGGGATGCACTAGTTGAATGACTCAACAAGACTGGTATAATTCAAATGTAGACAAAGTGTTCACAGACATCTCAGAGACTGCTGTCCTATACTGGTATTCATGAGTGTCTTTTGTAGTCGAAATCATGGACTCAAAACATGATCAAAAAGGGTCAAAATAATTCACCATCCTTTAGACAAGGTTTTACATTTATTCAAGTTCAAGTATGCTAGGTGAAAACAGGCCAGCATAACTGACTGAGAATCAAAATGTTGTAGACTATTTCATTATTTCAGTTTCATGGTATAAAACACAAACTGTAAATATTTACTTTAACAGGCAACAATTATTTTTTTAAAAGTAAATTATTAACATTAATGACTACAAGATTTGATGATATTTTTAAAATCTCAAGATTTCAATTTTACTCAGAGTACTTATTTTGTACTTTATGTATTAGCTACAATTAAGGAAAACATGATGTTTTGGTCAGGCTTATTTCACAACTCTGTCTCTCTTAAAGTTCACTAAACCCCAAAAGACTTATTTTACACTTGTTTGTTATTAGGACCAATTTTCTCAACAATGAAATTTTGGATCTCTGTTCAATATCAAGATTTGGATTTCTTTTGGTTACAGGATATTTTGGATATTCATTTTGAAAATTCCAGAAACTTAAAAGATAATTTTTTGTTTTCTGAAAGACTGAGCTGCATCAGACTCCTTGCAAACCTACAATGAGTTGGGCACAAGCGAATATTTCAAGCACTACTGATGGTACATGTGCCACTCTGCTGTCTGTGCTCATAGACATGGGGTCAGTGTAAAAGGCTGTTGTGTTCTAGAACAAGCGAGAAGGCGAATCCAGAACATGGACTGAATCACTGTCTTCTTAGGCAAGTAAACCAGAAAGTGCATTTACTTGTAAGATTCTGCCCCAGGCTTTAAGTTATGCCACAGTTACCAGGTGGAGTGAATACTCATGTATTTCAAATTTCCTATGTGATTCTAATTATCAAATATATTAAGGGTTTGTTGACATTGCTGAAATACATGTGGACCTACTCAATTCTTTAACAGTATTTTGAATACTTTAATATTATAAAATATTATAATAAATTTGCATTTCTGATATAAGTGTTCTTAATAACTAAGTCCAAGTGTAAGAATTTGGGGAAAATATTAATGGGAAGATATTTGTGAATTAGTTCATAGGAACAACTGATATATTCTTTCTAAGCATTGTTTAGTGTGTTAGCAAGTACAAGACGATATAGCATCCGTAGAAGTTAAGTGTATGGCTTTCAAATAACTTCAATGAGCAAAATATTACTTTAATTCATAGGAATGAAAAGTCAAGTAAAAAAAAAAAAGGGCTGCAATAGACTGTTGGACCCAGAAAAGTGAAGAGCAGAAATCAGGTCTTGTGTTTGCTTGAAAGAGATGGTGAGGTGACAGAGTAGATTTTGTTTTGAACTTAGAGATATGTTTAAATATAAATATACGGGTACTTATACATATATAGAGATAGAAATGTTTTAAAATAGATGTATATTGATATACAAATATGCAGACAATGGGGAAATATAGGGAGAAAAATGGTGACATAGTGAATGGAGGACAAAATTGCAGGAACACTGTTTTTCAGAGTGATACAAAACTGGTTATCTAGTGCTTGCGAATGGGGGGGTAGTCTATAGTTAGCAACACAGGAAATCCACATACTGTGAGGTCAGACTGAAGAGAGTATCAACAGATAAAAAGTAAGTGTATATCCTTACTAGGATTATTTTAGAATGTAAATGGGCTGATGAATGTTGATGTTGCTTATGCTATAGGGTTTTTTTTTTTATGTGTGTGTGTGTGTCTTTTTTTTTTTTTCTGTTCTTCTTTCCCTCCTTCCTTCCTTCCTTCCTGCCTCCTACCTGCCTGCCTCCCATTTTCTTTCCCTGTTTCTTGGCTTGAATTCTTCCCTCTTATCATTTTCACCCCTTCACCTGCTTTTCTCTCACACCACCGGCACAACGTGAACCATGTTTACAAAAAAACCCACATTTTGTTTTCCATGTTTTCTCATGCTAATATAATCATATACAACCTAAGAAGGCATACATATTTTTAATAATATCATATTATGCTTATTTCTTTCTTATTCAACAAGACTTGCAGAAATTTATCTGAGTACTGGCAAAGCTGGAATTAATTATTTTAAAATATCTGTATTACACTTAATCAATTTTTGTATTTTATTGGAACATTTCCTTATGAATAGAATTCAATTTAATATTTGATTTTGTTTTTGCTATTTTATGACTTTTTAGTTAATACCACAAATGATGTAATGCATATAGCCTTATGTACAAGGGCTTTGAATTTTGTAGGCTACATTCTAAAGTGCACTTTGTTGCCATAAAATGTGAACACACATATGTACTTTCAACAAAATTGCTAAATTGTTTTCCAAAAAGATTGTTTACATTTGCATTTTCAGTAGTAGTATAAGATAATACCCTCCTTTATTTTAAAAATTCATTAGTATTATCACTTTTGAAACTTTTTCTGTCATTCCAATAGATAAAATGTAATATGTGCTTTCTATTTTGCATTTTTCCTGTTTATAAATGCATTTCAACATTCTATCATATTTGCTGCCATTTCAGTGCATTTTAAAAAAATATTTATTTATTTGAAAGGCAGAGGTGGGGGGGAGAGAAGAGAGAGAGAGAGAGAGAGAGAGAGAGAGAGAGAGAGAATCGGTCCTTCATTCACTGGTTCACTCCCCAAATGGCCCCAAAGACTAGAGCTGGGTTAATATGAAGCCAAGAGCCAGGAGCCAGGAGCCTCTTCTGGGTCTCCCATGTGGGTGCAGGGGCCCAAGGACTTGGGCCATCTTCTGCTTTCCCAGGCCATAGCAGAGAGCTGGATCAGAAGTGGGGCAGCCAGGACACGAACCAGCATCCAGATGGGATGCTGGCACTGCAGGCAGAGGCTTTACCCGCTATGCAACATTGTTGGCCCCTGTAGATCTTGATAAATTTTAAAAATTTACTTATGTATTTGAGAGAATTAAAAAGACAGAGGCAGAGATAGATGGATAGATAAACAATAGATGAGAGAGAGAGAAAACTGTAATCAGCAGCTGGGTTACTCTCCAAATGCCTGCAACAACCAACAGGCTGAAATTGGTAGCTGTAAACCCAATCCAGGTCCCCCAAGTGGTTGGTGGCAGTTCAGCTACTTGCACCATCATTGCTGTCTCCCAGGGGCTGCATTAGCAGGAGGTTGGAACCACACGCTGGAGCTGGGAGTCAAATTCAAGTACCTGATATGGGACACCAGTGCCCTAACCAGTGTCTGAAATGCAAGGCCAAATGTTCAGCCCTCTCTTTTGTGTACTTTAGACGTCTCTGCATTTGTCCTCTAAAACACATTTGTTTGTCTATTGACTTTGTGTTCTTCCTTAAATTCATAATGCTGTGAAGTACGTTTTTTTTTCCCTTGCATTTCAATTATTAAGAAGATTCTTCCACCCTAGAATGTAGGCAGTCATCTTATTTGTTGATTTGAAATCAAATATAAGCCTTACATAGTTTCACATTAAATCTTTAATCCATTTTTACTTTATTCCTTTTTGTGGTAGTAACAACTTGTGCAATTTTATTAAGTTTCATGTAGAAATAATATTCATTTATTTAATAATCTGTCCTTTTCCCACATATTTTTAATTACTTCTTGCTCCATTTATCTGGTAGATCTCTGAGTTAAGGGGCTATACTTTTTGTAAAGAAACCTTTTCAGTTTGAAATAATTTTAGATTCAATATACATTGCAATTATATTACAGAGTTCCCATGCAGTCATCACCAGGCTATTCCCAATGTACTTGGGTTATGTAAGATGTTATCACTGGGCTCATGTTTTAATCAGCCTTGTATCCTTGATGGTTCTGAAACATAACAAATTGTAATAGCAGATTATTGAATGAATAAACAATGTATCCTAATACTTCATGAAGTCACTATAATAATTATATTTGCAGGTAATTTGAAATAAGGACATGTAGATGGACACATGGAACGGAGAAACAATGTGACTGAATTTGTCCTTTTAGGGCTCACTCAGAACCCTCAGGGTCAGAAAATATTATTTGTGCTATTCTTGCTCATCTACATGGTGACAATGGTGGGCAACCTACTCATTGTCGTGACTGTGGTGGTCAGCCCCACCTTGGATGCTCCAATGTACTTCTTTTTAGGCTACCTATCATTCATGGATGCTGTCTATTCTACTACAGTTACCCCAAACATGATTATAGACTTACTCTATGAAAAGAAAACCATTTCCTTCCAAGCTTGTATGACCCAGCTTTTTATAGGACACTTATTTGGTGGAGCTGAGATTTTACTCCTAGTTGTCATGGCCTATGACCGCTATGTGGCCATCTGTAAACCCTTGCATTATTTGACAATCATGAACCAACGGGTGTGTGTTCTGCTGCTGCTATTGGCGTGGGTTGGAGGTTTTGTGCATGCTGTCGTCCAACTTCTCTTTGTTTACAACCTTCCCTTCTGTGGCCCCAATGTCATCGACCACTTCATCTGTGACATGTACCCCTTATTAAAACTTGCCTGCACTGACACTTATGTTATTGGGCTCACTGTGGTTGCCAATGATGGGGCCATCTGTGTCGTCATCTTTGTTCTCTTACTCATTTCCTATGGAGTCATTCTACATTCCCTGAAGAATCTCAGTCAGGAAGGGAGACGCAAAGCCTTATCTACCTGTGGGTCTCACATCACTGTGGTGGTCCTCTTCTTTGTTCCTTGTATTTTTATGTATGTGAGACCCCCTTCCACCTTACCCATTGACAAATCCTTGACTGTGTTTTACACTGTTATTACCCCCATGTTGAATCCTCTAATTTATACTCTGAGAAATGCAGAGATGAAAAATGCGATGAAGAAGCTCTGGACCAGAAAAAGAAAATGATGTGGCAGAGAAATGGAAAATCTATTCTCAGTGGAGTTTTGTTCCTTCCAGGAAAGCCAAGTATAATTTTTTAAAGGTCAACTGCACCCTTATTAGCCTCTATAGCAGAACCAATACAGATTCCATTTATGAGGTAAATTTCATGTGTTATTCTTGATTTTTTAATCAGATTAAATTTATTCTTTAGACTTGATTACCTTTGCACAATGAAGAAATATTTAGTAGTGAATTCTTAAAATGGGGAATGGGTATTTTTAAGATTTTCATAGTTTGTTAGAAAAGTATATATTCTTATTTTCTTATAAAGTGACATTTTTAAGACTATAAGTTTATATGCCATAATTAATATTGTATTTTATATCTGTTAATGTAAATTTTTCTTATGTTTTACTCTTAAATAAAGTTTATTCTTTCTCAGAATTGCTAGCACCTATAATATTTTACTACAGAATAGACTAAGAAATAATATCAGTGTATCATGTATAAATACATGCCATGAGATACAGGATACTAAACCATAACAAGCACATGCTATGTCAAATATATAGAAGAAAGCATTCCACATTTAAGGGAAGGCTTACCTTTAGTAGGCCATTCGAATGTTCTTTCAAGGCAGTTACTTGTAGATATTAGGAAATATGGCTATACAGTGAGTTCCATGGTAGTGAGAAATTTTCTCTATTTTATTTGCTTGTAAATATGTTCCTTGGTTAGAAATGACTGGGTTTGAAATCACAATGATTTTTTAAAATTTTAATGTAGGCATTTTATTTGATATAACAAATTAAAATATGGAATATTATTAAGCAATTTCTTTTTAATTTTAGAATTTTATTTTTATTTTTGGAGATAATATTTTACTTTTTTTAATAGAAAGCTTTTATTTAATGAATATAAATTTCATAAGTACAACTTTTGGATTATAGCAGTTCTTCCCCCCATACCTGCCCTCCTACCCCAAACCACCCTACCACCTAGTCCCTCTTCCATCCCATTCTTCATTAAGATTCACTTTCTTTTTTTTTTAATGGTTCTTTTTTTAACTTTTATTTAATGAATATAAATTTCCAAAGTACATCTTATGGATTACAATGGCTCCCCCCCCCCATTAACTTCCCTCCCACCCGCAACCCTCCCCTTTCCCTCTCCCTGCCCCCTTCCATTCACATCAAGATTCATTTTCAATTCTCTTTATATACAGAAGATCAGTTTAGCATATATTAAGTAAAGATTTCAACAGTTTTCACCCACACAGAAACATAAAGTGAAAAATACTATTTGAGTACTAGTTATAGTATAAAATCACAATGTACAGCACATTATGGACAGAGATCCTACATGAGAAGTAAGTGCACAGTGACTCCTGTTGTTGACTTAACAAATTGACACTCTTGTTTATGGCAAAAGTAATCACCCTAGGCTCTTGTCATGAGTCGCCAAGGCTATGGAAGCCTTTTGAGTTCACCAACTCTGATCATATTTAGACAAGGTCGTAGTCAAAGTGGAAGTTCTCTCCTCCCTTCAGAGAAAGGTACCTCCTTCTTTGATGACCCGTTCTTTCCACTGGGATCTCACTCGCGGAGATGTTTCATGTAGGGTGGTGTTTGTTTGTTTGTTTGTTTGTTTGTTTGTTTTTTTTTTGCCAGAGTGTCTTGGCTTTCCATGCCTGTAATACTCTCATGGGTTTTTCAGCCAGATCCACATGCCTTAAGGGCTGATTCTGAGGCCAGAGTGCTGTTTAGGACATCTGCCATTCTATGGGTCTGCTGTGTATCTTGCTTCCCATGTTGGATCATTCTCTCCCTTTTGTATTCTATCAGCTAGTATTTGCAGACACTAGTCTTGTTTATGTGCTCTCTTTGGCTCTTGGTCCTATCATTATGATCAATTGTGAACAGAAATTGGTCACTGGGACTAGTGAGATGGCATTGGTACATGCCACCTTGATGTGATTGAATTGGAATCCCCTGGTATGTTTCTAACTCTACCATTTGGGGCAAGTCAGCTTGCACCCGCATGGGAGACCAGAAAGAAGCTCCTGGCTTCAGATCGGCGTAGGACTGGTCATTGTGACCATTTGGGGAGTGAACCAACATAAGGAAGACCTTTTTTTTTGTCACTGTCTGTAACTCTACCTTTCAAATAAATAAATAAATAAAACCTTTAAAAAATAAATAAATATAAATTTCCAAAGTATAACTTTTGGATTATAGTGGCTTTTCCCCCCCATAACCTCCCTCCTACCCACAACCGTACCATCTCCCACTCCCTCTCCCACCCCATTTACATCAAGGTTCATTTTCAATTATCCTTATATACAGAAGATCAAGTTAGTATATACTAAGTAAAGATTTCATCAGTTTGCACCCACACAGAAACACAAAATGTAAAGTACTGTTTGAGTACTAATTATACCATTAAATCACATAGTACAACACATTAAGGACAGAGATCCTACATGGGGAGTAAGTGCACAGTGACTCCTGCTGTTGATTTAACAATTTGTTACTCTTGTTTATGGTGTCAGTAATCTCCCTAGGCTCTTGTCATGAGTTGCCAAGGCTATGGAAGCCTTTTGAGTTCTCCAACTCCAATCTTATTTAGACAAGGCCATAGTCAAATGGAAGTTCTCTCCTCCCTTCAGAGAAAGGTACCTCCTTCTTTGATTGCCCATTCTTTCCACTCGGATCTCACATGCAGAGATATTTCATTTAGATCATTTTCTTTTTTTCCCACAGAGTGTCTTGGCTTTCCATGCCTGCAATACTCTCATGGGATTTTAGCTGGATTGAATGCTTTAAAGACTGATTCTGAGGCCAGAGTGCTGTTTAGGACATCTGCCATTCTGTGAGTCTGCTGTGTATTGGTGCCTTTTCAATTTCTTGACGTAGGCACCTATTGCTATAAACTTTCTTCTTAACACTGCTTTTGCTGTATCCCGTAAGTTTTGATATGTTGTGTTGTTATCTCCATCTGCTTCCAGAAAGTTTTTGATTTCTTCTATGACTAACTGTTCATTCAGGAGCATGTTGTTCAGTCTCCATGTGTCTGCATATGCTCTAGGGATTCCTGAGTTGCTGATTTACAGCTTCATTGCATTGTGGTCCATAAAGATTCATGGCATGATTTGTATTTTTTTTAATTTGCTGAGACTTACTTTATGGCATAATACATGGTCAATCCTAGGGAACGTTCCATGCACTGCTGGGAAGAAATCACAGTGATTTTGAAATCTGTTCCATGTTCACATTTTGCTGCTGCTGAATGCAGTATTCCTTCCTGTCAATAGATGGAGTTTCTGAGTGATGTGCAAATTTTGAATACATTATGAATGCTTTTTTTAAAAAAACAATGTTTTTTACTTGACAGGTAGAATTATAGACATTGAGGGAGAGAGACAGAAAGGTCTTCCTTCTGTTGGTTCACTTCCCAAATGGCCGCTATGGCCAGTGCTGCGCTGACCAGAAGCCAGGAGCCAGGTGTCCCTGGTCTCCCATGTGGGTGCAGGGGCCCAAGCACTTGGGCCATCCTCCACTGCCCTCTGGGCAGAGAGCTGGACTGGAAGAGTAACAACCGGGACTAGAACCTGGCGCCCATATGGGATGCTGGCACGGCAAGGCAGAGGATTAACCTAGTGAGCCATGTGCTGGCCCCACATTATGAATGCTTTTAAGTGCGTGTTCTTGTATTCACTATGTTCCAAAAATTCCTCAGATTATTACTGAATTGTCCATTTCTCTTGTTGGTTAAACTTATTTTAAAAGAATTTGATGGCCGGTGCTGCGGCTCACTAGGCTAATCCTCCGCCTTGTGGCGCCGGCACACCGGGTTCTAGTCCCGGTCGGGGCGCCGGATTCTGTCCCGGTTGCCCCTCTTCCAGGCCAGCTCTCTGCTGTGGCCAGGGAGTGCAGTGGAGGATGGCCCAGGTGCTTGGGCCCTGCACCCCATGGGAGACCAGGAAAAACACCTGGCTCCTGGCTCCTGCCATCGGATCAGCGCGGTGCGCCGGCAGCAGCGCGCCGGCCGCAGCGGCCATTGGAGGGTGAACCAACGGCAAAGGAAGACCTTTCTCTCTGTCTCTCTCTCTCACTATCCACTCTGCCTGTAAAAAAACAAACAAACAAACAAAAAAACATAATGTTATTTCTTATGCTACCCTCCCTTCCTCCCTCACTCACTCTCTCTTCTCCTTCCTTTCAAAATAATAATAATAAAAAAAAAGAATTTGATAAGGCTAGGTTTGATTACATATAAATTTTTGTAATATCTTCCTACTATTGAACTCTTGGCACTACAAAAAATTTAACTCTGGAAACATTTCTTTTCTTGAAGTCTCCTTTTTGCTGCCCGATATTAATATAGAAAGTATATTTGTCTGGTCAGTGTTTGTGAATATTTTTCCAAGATATTTTTATGTTTTTACATTGTCAACTAAGATATTTCTTTCCTAAGGCTTTTACTGTTGAGCTCTGCTTTTGAAAAAGCTAAAAGTTGCTTAGTTTTTTTAAAAAGAATTATTATGCATGTGGATTTAAATTCACCACATTCCTCTTTGTTTTATGCTTATTAATGTGTATAGTTGTTATTCAGGTTGATCTACACACAAAATTCCCCTTTCCTTTAATCCTCTTTACTCACAGCATTTCCTTTTTCCATAACAGAGCTTGCCCCTTTTTCCTGAAGATCAATCTTTAGATTTCTGTCTGGTGGAATTTGACGGGTCACAAAGTATTCCAAGTTTTTTCCATTTTGTAAGAACACTATCTGCATTTTGCTTTCATTTGTTAATTTTAAAGTTGATATATAATTCTGTGTTGATATTCATTCTCATTAGGACTATGGAGGTCTTATTTCCTTATCTTCTGTGGGTCACTAGTACTTTAAGAAATGAATTTTTAGCCTTTTTATTTTCCTAAATGCAATATGTTCATAAGACTTTTTTTTTTATCCTTTTGTAGAAGTTACGTATTTTGGACCAGCACCATGGCTCAATATGCTAA